TCGAACCATTGCCTGAAGCCAACTCAGACACATGGGAGTTGCATTGGAGCTAGACCTGGAGCTGACTGTATTTGAGCACCTAAAGCAAAATCTGGTGGTGAAGGTGGCTGTAGCTTTGTGTCTTAAACTAGCTTTAAATCTGGAGAATGCACAGGGCTGGCTGAAGCTCTAGAAAGAGGGAGTGAGCTGGTTATGACCATGGCTCCAGTCTAGAGCTGACCGTAAACTCTGGTACTGGCGGTATTACTACTGTGGTAGCTGGGGATGCTGTCATCCAGGAGGTCATGCTGGAGCCAATTCTGGTGCTGCTTCTAACTCTGGAGACTGCATCAACTCTAGGTCTGCCTGCGGAGCTGCTTCTCAGGCCACAGTCCTTGCTAGAGCCAGCTCTGGGTCTGGGCCTGTTATTATCTGTTATTCTACAATTGGTTTTTGATGTAATTCCAGTTTTGGAACTAGTCAAAACTGATAATAGAGCTGTCTCTATCTCTAGAAACTTTGATGCCTCCTGGATTTTTTTGTAGCCCTGAAGGATTTGCTAGACTTGGTGGTGAACCTGCTTGTAACTTTGGAGTTGATGCTAGAACTGCTTTGAGATTGACTGTAGTTCTGGAAATGACACTGGAGTTATTGTGGAAATGGTACCAGGACTGGACCTGATCCCAGTTTAGGAACTACTTTAAGAATTTCTCCAGGAGCTGAGAGTATGGGTATAGCTGGCCAGAGTGCTACCTCTAATCCTGATGCCCATAATAGGCACTAACTCCTATGTTGTGGCTGTGCCTGGAGCTCCTGCTTTCTGTGGAGCTGGCACCAGCCATGGGTGGGCTCTGTGACTGGCGCCAAAGCTGATGCTGGAGCTACAGCAGATGAAATGGTTTCAAATAACAGTGAGTCTGTATGCCTTTCCAGTCATAGACAATATCTCAGTGTCTTTGAATGAAACCAGAATTTACAACACAGCAAACTTAGCATTCTTAAACTGTCAGCCCCAGAGAGAGGATGTGCTGATCTTGGTCTCACCAAGTAGTCCCACACCTCTGATCTCCATGGGGGGAGATAAGTGCTGTCTTCCCTCCTAATTTTGGAGTCCTGAGAGATGCAGGGACACACCCACGCAGAGGTTGAGCATAAGGAATACCAGGGTCAGTGGCTGGCCCACCGGTAGTGACAAAGGTCAATACGGGAAGGGCCTGGTGGTAATTCAGTGCTGTTCTCAGCTGTAAGCCTCTGTGTGACTGTGATCTGCCCATTGATTTCTCTAAGCACCTACCAAGTATGCTTTGTCATGAACACTTGTGCTCAGACAAGTTCACGTGGGTCCTGGTGTTGCAGCTGAGAATGTGACCTCGTGCCTGCACATTCAAAGTGCTCTCCATAATCTGATGACTTCCTCCTAGTGTAGTTTCCTGAGTGACAAGAAATGGCTACTTGCTAACAGGGTTAGAAATCAGGCAGTGTGACAAGTCCTGCCCCTCCTACTTCCCTTCTACTGTGTTGAGAGCTGGGTCAGGATGCATTAGGGGCTGAGTGGGGCCTTCTCCTGTCCTGTGGTTCCTTTCCAGGCACTGTGGGAGCCAGGAATGCTGGCTTGTCCACCTCCCTCTAACTCTCAGGCCTTACTCTCAAGTGTCCCTGCAGCTCCTGTTTTCTCCAACAGGGCTCCAACTGCTGGAAGAAACTGAAAACCTGAAGGCAGCAGTTTGGAAATGTGTGCAATTTGAAGTTTCACTTCTAGGCATCCATACTAAAAACTTGATATTTAGAAAGGCATGAGCGCCCTTCAGCATATTCTGGGAGTGGAAAATTGGCAGAGTCCAGGATTGCACAGCAGGGTCTACTGAGTGAGTTGTGTGGCTGATGAAGGTGCACAAGGGACAGGAAACCAACTGTTTTCACCCCAAGCTGACAGGAAATGGCAGTGGGGCACATGGCCGTGTTGTGTCCCCACCTAAGCAAGGCAGACGGGCCTGCACCTCACCATGAGGACAGGAGAGTAGCTTGTGGAGTGGAAACACTTGTGAGTGAAAGGACCACATCATCCTTTATTTTGTTTTGCTGTCAAACTGGTCTGTTTGCTTTAGTGATGAAATAGTTTCTGTCTTTGCAAAAATGCTGCAAGTTCAGATGTGCTAAGAACCTGAATTTCATAAATAGTGAATATTGCGGACACTTGCTAATACAACACATTGTTCCTTGTAATACCACAAAATGCACTTCTTTTTGAAAACATTGAGATAATGAATCAAGGTGATAGTAAAGATTTTGAAAGTTCCACATACCCGAGCAGATCACTCTTAGTGGTTTGGTCGCATCTCTCAGATTCGGTCTGTCTCATCATTTATCTCTGTCTCAATCTCTCTCGCATATAAATTGATCTAAATGCAGATATGTTTGCATGTTTGCTTATGTACCTGTAGTTAAAATAAGATCCACACTGCAGACTGACCAGGAACTGTTTTTCCCATGGCACTGTCCTGGCCATCATTCTGTGTGGGCACAGGTTGACCCAGCCGAATCACCTCAACAGGTGCAAGGATGCCCTAGCACAGATGGAACAGAATTAATACATCCCCTCAACACAGAGGGAGTGAGGTTTCCTGTTCCTTGGAATTTTACTCAATCCTGTGTTGAGAAATGAATCTGTGAAAGTCATGCCATTATTTCAGTGGAATAAATTCCTCGAATTGCTTCTCTAGGGACAGACGAACATGTAAAGAACTTGGGCAGGTGCTGCCAAAGCCCTCTTTCTCCCAGAGAGCAGCACCTGTGACACATCTGCCAGGGGACCTGCTAGAGCCTCTGCTTCCTACATTCTCAGCATTGCTGATCATCAGCAGACACACAAACCTGCCAGGCTGATGGGGACTGAGGCTGTGGCACTGCACATTTCTGTGTGTCAGTTTCTGGGAGGTGCTGCCTGTCTGACCTCTGCAGGCCATGGCAATTGCCTCCTGGTTCAATGCAGTGCATTTATCCTTAGTCTTCAAAAACAGTTCATTCAGGGGCAGGGATCTGACATAGCTGTTAAGATGCTGCTTAAAGATGCGAGTGACCCCCCAGAGGACTATGGGGAGCGATTCCTGGCTCCATCTCCTGACTCCTGCTTCCTACTAATTTTGTAGCCTCAGAGGCAGTGGTGATGACACCAACCGATGACTCCCTGTCCCCCACGAAGGAGATCCAGATGTGGTTTTTGGCTCTTGACTTCATCTGGGCTCAGACCAGACCCAGGGGTCATTTGGGGAGAGAACTACTGGATGGGACTGCTGAGTTCTCTGTCTCTTCTCTCCTTTGCCCCTTCCCATCTCTATGCCTATTAGATAAATATTTTGAAACTTGACAGAATTCATGATTCCCGAAAGTTCTAATTGTCCCTGGAATATGAACCATGAGTCTGGACAGAGCCTGAATGTCATACTTTCTGGTTTGAGGATGGGCTTCCAGGTTTTGATGGTTTTGTTGCTGTTGTGGTTGTTGGGTTTCTTTTTTCTTTCTTTTTTTTTTTTTTTTTTTTTTTGCCTGTAGAAGCAGTTACCTGGTATGAGCTTTCTAGCTCTCATGTCATAGAAAATAGTTCCTAATGTAAGATTATGAAAATATTTACTATTGATTGATTTTTAACATATAAACTTGGATATCTCTGGGGTTTTATATTTAAACAATTTTGGTTAAAACAAAGAAATTTGGCCATTGTCACACTACAGGTTAAGCTGCTGCCTTAACCAGCAGCAATCCATTTGGGCTTTGATTTGAGTTCCTATTGCCCTATTTCTGATCCAGCTCCATACTAATAGTCCAAGGAAAGCAGGGGAGGATGTCCCAAGTTTCCAGGGCCCTGCACCCACGTAGGAAACCTGGAATAAACTCCTGGCTCCTCTCTTAGCCTGGCTGAGCCCTGGCCATTGTGGCCAGTTTGGTAGTGAGAGGATGGAGGACCTCTTTCTCTCTCTCCCACCCTCCATGTCTCTCTCTCTCTCTCTTATCTCTGCCTTTTAAATAACTGAAAAAAATTCATGATAAAGAAAATAAGATGTAAGAAGCACATTTCATGCTAAGTGTCAAGAAACAAGAAGCCAGTTGCTATGTTAGTGCATGCATATGTGACATCCATTGTAGGTACTAGCGTGAAGAGAGAGAGCAAAGAGTTTGCCAGGGATTAGGTCTGGACGGTTGGGGGCAATGACTTGGGGAGTACAGATGGATGAAAGGTTGCAGAGTGACACAGTGGTGATGGACACACAGCAATAATTAAAGTGGTTGCCATGGAATACCTTAAAAAGCTAAAATAGGATATTTTATTGAAAGTGAATTTTATAGTATACTGAATAGTAATTTCTTATGCGGAGGTAAAGGAGAAAGATGAACATTACTACATATTGTGTAGTAAGGGAGGGGGCTGTGAGCGCTGGCCCAGGGACAGGTGCCAGCTGTGGAGCTGCAAAGAGCTCAAGGTCTTGGGACTCGGCAACAGGTGTTTCCTGCCCAGAAGGTTGCAGTAGATCCGAGACTGCGGTGGGGTCTGGATCTGAATCTGTTGCATTCGCTGGCTCTGCAGTGGGAGCTGCTGGAGCTCCCTGGCATTCTGGAGCTAGTGCCACTGTGGTTTCTGGTGTGAGCTCCCTGGAGGTTTCCAGAGCTGGTATGCGAGCCTGTTCTGGCTGTGGGGCTCCATCTGGCAACAGAGATGGAGGTGGCACAAGCTCTTGTTGTGGAATTGGAGCTTCCGCTGGCCCTGGAATCACAGGAGGAGAACATATCAGCAGCAGGCCTGACTTCTCCTGTGCCTTCCAGAGACAAAACCTTGTCTCCGACTCTCAGGGAAACCTTTGACCCAAATTCTGCTTCCTGAATGACTTTCAGGAAGTTGGGCCTCCATATAAGTATCTGGATCCCTTGTTGCTCCTAGCCCCACCCCTGGTTCTGGAAGCTTTTCTGAGTGTGACCCAAACTCTTCACCTCCCCGTGCACTCACATGCACTCATCCCCGTCCTGCTCACCCTCTAGTTCTGCCTCAGTGGGCTCTGGGTGCTGCAATCGTCCCAAGAGAAGTTGCACACGGTGCCCCAGCTCTGAGTCATGCAGGAGGAGCTGTGCATATTCCAGAAGCACGTGCAGACTGGTGTACTGCGGGGGATGATCGAAATCTTCCAGGTATTGCTCCAGCCAGGTGGCCAGGATGGTCGAGATAGCACTGGGGGAGGCAGTTGGGCCATCCAGTGAGAGGCCTGGCCCTTCAGGCTGTACCATTTTCCCAAGATACAGGTGGGGCTCCAGTGCCTCCCATAGCTCTGACCCAGCTCATGCCACTGATATACAGCCAGGATAGAGCTCTGGTCCATGAAGGGGGACTGACAAATGGCCGTATGAGAGGGAGCCCTTGTCCATGGTGTCACCACATTTCCCTTTACAGTAAAACACACTGTTGCACGCTGTTGTCTGTGTCTTGTCCTCCCTAGAATGCCAGCTCCACAAAAGCAGTGTGAGATGTTGTCTTCTTCATTCAACACTCTCTGGCACTTAGTAGGTGCTACCTAAGTAACTGAAGCAGGAGGAAGCAAGGAGGGCAACCTCTGTCCCAGGCTCCTGAGGCCTGTGCTACTATCCTCAAATGTTAGTGCTGACAGCACAGTGAATGGGTCTGCTCTTCCAGTGCAGCTCATGTCCCATAGGGGACTGAGCCCTGGGCACTGGCTGCAACCTCTGAGCACCCATCACACCTCACTGTGGGACTGCAGCCATATTTGTGAGCAGGATGCCCCCACTCTGACTCTGGGTCCCATGATGGACTGATGGTGAAAGCAGGTTTGGATGAGAGGTGTTGATGCTGGATTCCCTCAGGGCTTTATCTTGTCCTCCCACTACCACTCCCTGCCCCACAGTGCCTGTGGCCTAGTCCCAGCTCTCTGGCAGCTTCATTCCTACAGGGCACCACACAGACCTCAGCTCTGCAAGAGCATCACAGGATGTTTAGACTGAAGGCACCTACCAGCTGCATGAAAACCACAGACACCACGCTTCCAGCCCAATGTCATCAAAACTGTCATAAAAAAAATTGGGTCCTTCCACCTCCACCACACCCACTCACTGTTTGACTGCGTCCTGCAGTACACCTTCAGCCATAGGAGGGAACCATGGGAACCTAGAGGAGGCAAGGACGGTATCACATTGGCCCCATGGTGGGCACCCCCTGTCCAGTAAACATGTCTGAGTCCACTAAGAAGGGAAGTCCAGCAGGGACTGGGGCCTGTCCTGTGCTGTGCATCAAGGTAACTGCCTAGAAAGGTCCTGCAGATTGTGTGACTTCATGGCCACATAGCAGGAGGAAAATGAAGCTGAATAGGTCTGCAGTCCTCCTGCCCTCATCACATATCCTTGGTCTGGTTCAACGCAAAAACACCTGGATGGAATCTGGACCCAGTTCAACAAATAAGGAAACAGTTTAACTTTTCATGGACATTTGGTGCAGTGGTACGTCACTAGAAATGCTCCCTTCCCATATCGAAACTGCTGGGTTGGAGTCCTCATTCCAGTTTCAATGTAGTGCACCATGAATGTGCACCCATGGGGGCAGGTTGTGACTCAGTCCTGGGGTCCCTATCACCCATGTAGGAGGTCTGTATTGAGTTCTTGGTTTTTGACTACAGTCTCTCCTAGCTCATGTCTTCAGGGAAATTCTGTAATGGAGCTCAGATGGAAGAATTTTTACTCCTTGTCCCTCTCTCAAAGGAGTAAGTGAAAAAAGAATTATTCAACCATTCAGCTCAATTTCAGAGAATCATAAAATGCTGTAGCAAGAACTTCCTTTCAGAGAGGAGAAAATAATGAGAAGAAGGTGGGGTGACCTTGCCGAGACTCAGAGGTTGAGGTGGCCTGCAGATTTGGGAGACTGACCTTCTTAACAACGCGTTCAGCACCTGCCCAGTGGTGGCAAAAGCTCTGTAGGTTCTCAGGAAGGCGGGAACATATAAGGGCTCAAAGCCAAGGAAGGCAGGCACCAGGCGGTCCACCAGCTTCTGCAACGTGTCTTCCTGGGCCCTCCACCCAACCTGGGCATCATACTTGATCAGTTTAGATGGCTTTTTCGCCTAGGTTAGGATGGAGGGACACACAGTCAGTGCAAGCTCCAGGAGCCACCAGAAGTGTAGGAGCTGGAATTCAGACCTATGCCAAAGCCATCACTGATTCTTGTCCTGCATCACACTGATGGCTCTCTCCTACCCCACCACACACCCATCTAAGAGCCTCGAGAAGCAGACACGTGGGGTGGCATTGGGGCCAGGATATTGAACCCCCTCTGCACTCCTACTCACCCTGGGCCAACAGCGGCCTCTGTTGGCCTCCTGTCTCTCCATGCGGGAGATGGAGTACAGGACCTTGTTCAGCAACTTCTGACCTCTGTTGTGCTTGGAGCTCTGGAAAGACAGTGCCCGGCAGGTGCAGAGCAAGCATCAGGGCCCTGCCTGGTCCCTTTCCCTCTGTTTCTGCCCTTCAGGACCTCCTCTTCTCCTGACCACATGGACCTTGCATCACAGAAAACCCCCTAGAGGATGGGATGTGCTGGCATGCTGGATGTGAAATAACATCTAGGCAGTTGTGAGTGCCTGGATGATTTCATCCCGCCCTGCCAGCCATGACCTGAGTTGTGAAGATGACAAGACCGTTATGTTAAGGCCTTCCACCCTGACCACCTTCTGCCCATGATAGGCCCTCCCCACACATACTATTTCCCCCTCCCTAATAAAGGTGTTTTGCGGTAGCCCAGGTGCTTTCACCATGAAGTCCTGGCCTGAACAGCACTGTCCTGGGTGGTCCTGAGTTACCTGTGGTTGCCGTGTGCTACATGGCTGGGGGTAGTGGGGGTGAGGTGAGAACCAACGTCGAAATTGCTGCCACAACCCCTCATCATGCGGGTTTCTCGGGCCATGCCTCGAGAAGTGGGAACACAGCAAGAGAACATCTTGTTCTGTCAAGCGTCTCTCGCCAAAATGAGCTGGCAGGGGCCTCTCTCTAGAATGTTCGTGCCTGGTTACTGGGGTTACAGGATCTGTTGTGACCTGTTAGTAAGTTGTGTCATTAAAGTTGGGGCTTCCTTATCTCACCCCTCTTCTCCCATCTGAAGTCCCCAAACCACGCTGGGATTGAATGTATTCCCACCCTGCTGTCCCATGCTGTCTCTATTTCTCTACACAGTGACACCAGTTCCCCCCTCTGAGCAGGGCCTATGGTCTTCCTGGGTGCTACCACAGTGACAGACACATGGAACCTTATTTCCAGTTCCTGACCTTGACCAGGGTTGAACCCTGAATTGGTTACTGTGCCCCTTGGGACATCCCCAGTCTCAGCAGCAGCATTGTAGGATCATTCTAGAATCTACTCTAGGGGTGTCATCAGGTATACAAGTGACAATACTGAGTGAGCCTATGGCTGGTCCTAATGCAAAAAGTAGAGCTAAATACAGAAGAGGGTGTCAGATCACATGGGATACAGGGTCTTTGAATCATTTGTGGGAAGTGCACACGATTCACCAATCCCCTTGTTGTCTAATGATTTCAAAGTATCCTGTAGAACTGAAAAGCAGACCTGATTCCTGTTATGTGAGCTTGGTATTGTCCACCTTCCTTCCTTTGCATCATTTCTCTGTCATGAGTGGCTTGAAATTTATCAAATCAGATATTGTCCTCCCAGACCTTCCTGTGTCTTGTCTTCTTTAGGCCTTGACCTTAGTACTGAAGAACAAAAGTGACAACTGACTCCATTTTTAAACAAATAAAAAAAGCAGCTTCCATTTTCCATAGCAGACCCGAGTCCTTGTAAGAGCAGACTTTCAGGCATTCCAGAGATGGAGATATCAAAGCTTACCAGGAACAGCTAGCTTGGTAGACCAAGGAGAGCACAGGAGAGAATGCTAAACAAAGTAACTCCCTGGCCCAGAGCTCCTGTGCTGTAAGCCCCCGCTGCAACTCCCTGTACCCAGAGCTTCCGTGCTATATGTAACTCATTTTTCCTGCTAATGTAGCCCCTTTTTCCTTTAAAAACTCTCCCAAAGATTGGAGACACTCCTTCCTCCACTGTGCCGGTTGGTTGGATGGGGTCCCTGTCGTGGCTTCTACTCCTGAATAAACCTTGCTTCTGAAGTTCGGTGTGATCGACTCTCGGGATCTCTGCAGGGATCTAATGATCTGGAAACAGCATATTTTTTGGTCCCCAACAATACCTGTTATCAACTTGTGTGTGGAACAGAATTAGGTTTGTAATGATTTGTTTGCACAGCAGAGAGAGAAGGGGAGCTAGAGATCTTGTATCCACTGGTTTACTCCACAAAGGGCTGAAACAGCCAGCTCTGGGCCATGCTGAAGGCAGGAGCCAGGGGCCTCATCTGGGACTCCCATGTGGTTGGCAGGGATCCAAGCACTTGGACCATCTTCTGCTGCCTTCCTAGGCACATGAGCAGGAAGCTGAATCAGAGGCAGCTAATCAGGATTCAAATCAGTTTTCTATTTGGGATGCTCACGGTGAAAGTGATGGCTCAACCCAGGCCTCCAAAACTCTGGCACGGTGGGCAGACTTCTAGCAGCTCTCGTCTCCCCTCACCTCCTGGTGCACTTTCCCAAGTAGTAACCTGTCCTGAAGTGTGTATTCGGCTAGGGACTCTCTTCTAGTCGATAGGACGAGGTGTCATCTGCGAGATTTACATGTGATGTGATTGCAACTAAAGCCTTTCTCTGCTCAGTTCTTTCCCTCTCCTCCCTCCTCTTGTCATTCCCTTCCTCTCCTTCATCCTCCTCCTCCTCCTCCCTCTTTCTGCCCACCCTCTGTGAGTCCCCTGTCCTTAGTGAAGGTCCACTATGATATTTACTGCTTTTGGGAAAGCCTGGTGTCTCAGAACCCCACAAGGACAGCAGAGAGCGGGGAACTCTGCTCAGTCCACACTAAATCCTGCCAGTCCCCCTAAATCCTTCCCTACTTGAGCTTCCTTTGAGGCCACAGCCCCTACCTCTGAGCCTCTGTAGCAGAAGCCCTGAGGTGAGTATCACTGGACTTGTGGGGCAGTGAAATCGTGAGATCATCACAGTTGTAAATGGACACAGTTGAGTTCATGGTTTCTAAGGGCAGTGCACCTGCCCCAGAGTCAGCTTTGGCTCTATTCCATCCTCTCCTCCTGTGGGCAGCCACAGGCAGTCGCCCCTTTTGGTTACACTTAAACATATGGATGGAGACATCCTGGCACAGACAAAAGGCTAAGGAGGTTCCAGGAAGAAGCAGGAAGAACCATATCTCACTGTTATACTTCTCACAAGAGATGATGTAGATAATCAGTCACACCTGAAACCTGCATTTATCATCTAGGTGTTTTATTATACCCTTGTAATCAATGCTAGAACCTTGTCGGTAACTCTTTGTAACCCCAAAAGTCTTTTAGATATGTAAATCTTTTGTGTGCCTTCTTGTGTACAACTGGTCATGTTTAAATACTACTAGACTTGTTGAATAAACGAGCTTGATCAGGATTTGTCTTGGCTCCATTCTTTGCGTCCTTGTCCCCGCATTCCAACTTTCTGTTTCAGGAAACCTGGTTCTTTGTGTTACAGACGGGCACATCCTCCTCCCCACCGAAGCTCTCTGAGTCCCACTGGCCACCTTCCTAACCTCCTCTCTGGGCAAACTCACTTCTGCACTGGAATCTACACAGTGGAGCCTCCCCAGACACTGCTGTCAGTGTTGTGCAGAGCGGGCTCCTCTTCTTGTCTGCCCCAAGCATAACTGTCCCTAAGTGTAGACCTTTCAGATGCCCCCCATGAACTGCCTCAGCACTCTTGCAGAACCCTCACTGAGTATGTTACAGCACTTGCTCTTTGATTCTTGCTATTTTTATTTTTAAGATTTTGTCTCCCTCTCCTTGCAGACTATGAGCTTCTGGAGGGAAGGAGCCAGGATGGTCTTTCTCAGTTGGACCCCAGGACTGACTTTGCCAGAAACAAGGTGGGCTCAGGGCTCACCACAGCTGAAGGGGGAATTTTGGAAATTTTGGGGCACAGGGAGGACCTCCCCTTGGAGGACCTGGGTGGAGCTGGGCTGGTGAACATGGACCAACGTGCACACAGGGTCTGTCTTTCCCTGGAAAGAAGGGACCTGCTCCACAGTGGGGAGTCTTGGTGCTGGGCACCAAGATTCCTCTAGGTGCATCCCATGAAGCCTTCTCTGCCGCAGACAGTAAGTTGTTGAGCAATAGTTAGCCACATGGACTGCAGCTATGCAGTACTCCTGCAGGGAGAAACTGAGGTGCTGTGACAATTGCAGGTGGACCCAGAAGAGAGCAAGGTGACATGCTGGTGCCTCAGATTCATACAAGTCACCCACACCCTTTTGTCTGCTGACAGAATTCTGTGTCAGAGAAAGGAGGTGTCTGGTCCAAGGTCACAGGCTGATTCAAGGAAATGTGGTGCTTTTGTTGGGATTTACTTTGCCTACATTTTGCACAGCCTCAGGATCAGAGAATCAGTCTGACTGATAGGATGTTATTCTCATGTCTCTTGAAGGTCAAGGTGACCAAGCCCCAGCTCAGTAGATGTGAATATTAGGACTTTATGGGATTTGCAAAGGGAGGGCAAATGGAGCCTACACAGCTGTGCAAACCCTTTGTCCTTCCTTCTGTCCTCATGCTCATCCTCTGAAAGGTAGCCATCCTGAGCCCTCCTCCACAGAACTCTGTAGGAGAAAGAGCATCCCAGCTCCATCCTGTGCCACAGATATTGTGGGTGCATATAGGGCTGTTCCCAGACTCTGAACTCCAAGCTGAAGAGGAGGGATGAGCTTCTGTGGGGGTGTCTGGATGCTGAGTTACCTACCACAGCCTCTGGTTTTTGGTGTTTGCTCATTTCTGGAGAAGGGAGGGAGTCTAAGCAGGACACCTCAGTGGGAACAGAGCTCTCCTTTCCCAAGCAGAATGACAGGAGCCACTGTATTCTCTCCCTTTCCTGTATCCTGTCAGGGGCTCTTAGGAAATCCTGATCTGTACCCTGCACAGCCTGGTGCAGGTGCAGGGTTGTGCACCAGGTACAGACAGCTGTGCCTCCCGTGGGTCCAAACAGAATCTCAGGTAAGAGGCAGAGTGTTTGGCTCCACAATTTTTCCCCCATGGACACTGGGAACCCATGTTGGAATTTATGATTAAAATAAATCGACACTAACAAGCTGGCAGGTGTGACAACAGAACATGGCACAATTTATCACTGAAAGAAGTTGTTAGGAAGAAACTATTTTAAAAATAATTTTGATAAATAGTGTCTGAGCCAGCACAATAGACAAAAGTAATAATTTCTTTAGGATATATTCAAAGCATCTGCAGACATGAAATTAGTGTATGGTCCAGAGTTCTCATTCCTCATGGAAACACAAATGATCTTAAAGAAACATTTTCAGTAAAAGGACAATAAATGTGTACAAAGTTTCACAATTTTTTTACTGAGCCATATTTTAAGAAAAACATTTAGGTGTTTAAGAACCTTGTTACAGTTTGCTACAAAAAAAAAGTTTCTCTGAACAATTTCTAAACATATGGATAGATTTCGGTTTCACTGTTTATTAACCAAAGATTATAAACCTATTGAAGTTCTCTGGGAATAAAGTTTGAGTCCCAATGGGAGTGCCCCACAGGAAAAGCCAAGTAGACTTTGTCATTGTCACTGTGCTGAGTGATGCTCCTTCCGTTACTCCCATGATGAACTTCCTAAGGAGATGGAAGAGCCAGGTCTTGGTCCCTTAGCAAATAACCTGCCTCCCTCCTGATTTTTGGCCATGTAAGAGCACACTAGGGCCACCCAGCAGTGTGGCGGATGCGCAGGTTGAGGGGCAGCTGTGTTGCCTGTGCTCATTCATGACCCGAGTTCCTCCATTCATTACCATTCAGTAAAGAAGGGGGTCAGGCAGGGTGTGAAGTGTAAAATGCATCAAATCAATGTGATCTGGAGGTGCAGTGAATTGTTCTCCATGGGGAGGCTGCTTCCTGTTTCCTGAGGCTGTAATAAATAATCAAAATAAGGTAATATTGTTATAATGATGTAATAAATAAATAATGTAATATATAATTAAATAATGTAATAATAGTAATGAAGTAATAACTTTTTCCATTAATCAGGCATATGCAGCTGTGATATAGACCACTTAATCTCAACACACTCCTTCCACAGGGCTTGCATGTTCTGCAAGAGAGCAATTTTGTCTCTGTTTTATCTCTGCAACGCAGGGCCTGACTTAAGGAAATACTAAGAAATATCACTGACGGGGCTGGTGCCATGGCTCACTTGGTTAATCCTCTGCCTGTGGCACCAGCATCCCATAGGGGTGCCGGGTTCTAGTCCCAGTTGCTTCTCTCCCAGTCCAGCTCTCTGCTGTGGCCCAGAAAGTCAGTGGAGGATGGCCCAAGTCCTTGGGCCCTGCACCCGCATGGGAGACCAGGAAGAAGCCCCTGGCTCCTGGCTTCGGATCAGCACAGTGCCGGCCATAGTGGCCACTTGGGGAGGTACCAGCTGGAGGAAGACCTTGCTCTCTGCCTCTCACTGTCTAAATCTCTGTCAAATAAATAAAAAAAAAATTTAAAAAATCACTGAAATACTGCTGATGGAAAGACAGTTGTTTACTCAGCAGTAAAATTGAGAAAACAAAGATTGTCTTCTAGGAGGTACTCCTGAGAAATTAATCTAAGAGGATTTGGAATTGAACCTGGAGTAAACCTGTGTAGATGTCTAAGTTTGAATGTCTTATCAACAGAACTGTGGAGCTTGAAGCATTCCTGTCATTTCCCCAGACAACCACGAGAGGGCAAAGCAGGACTACTTATGACAGTGGAGCCATTGCAGAAGCCTAGGTGAGCTCTCTTCAGATTAGGGTTACAGCTTCAGAGAACTTTAGAAGAAACATCTCTGTGCCATTATTCTCCAATGTAAGAAACAAATCAAAGGTAATGCACTAACAGGAGGATGGACTCTGAGGCACGCAGACAGGGAAATGGCATTGCCCTGTGGCCTCCATACAGATCTGCCCTCCTGCTGTCCATCCATGTCATAACTTCTCCCCATCAAAAATGTGTTTGGATGACCAGATGATGTTGTTGAGTATCATCTTGTGGCTTCTTCTTTGTCAAGGGAATCCCTGGTAGCCTGTGATGTGTTCCTCAGACAGTGGAACAGAGCTGAAAGGATCTGACACAGGGCAGGTAATGGGCAGGAGGGCTCAGGGCACAGCCTGCAGGGTTTGAACTCTCATAGTTAGCACAGCCAAGGTCTAGTTCACACCAGCTGAAGTCCCAGTGACAGACTTTTCTCTTCCTTGGGGAACTTCACCAAAATCACTTAGATTCGATTAGCATGTGCAAAGTACCTACAACACATTTGAAGGAGTCTAATGCTTTCTGTTACAATCCTGGGTCTCCCTCCCCAGATGATCAGTGTCCAGACAGCAGAGTTTACCCCTTGCTCAGGCCGTGTCCCAGGCCCCCCACTCAGCAGCAGATGTGGAAGAGCTGCCCACTGCTCCTGGGTGCATGCCCTTGGACTGGAGATCTGTAAGGCTGTGGAATACTTTGAGAATCAGGACCTGAGCTTTGGCAGCCAGGATGTAAAGTCCTAAATCCATGCTGCTTGGTGACCTTCCAGGCTCTTTATCCTTGATTCCCTTCCTACTGCATCTCCCAGACACGAGGCCCTGCCCCCACTGTTTCCCACAGTACTCATCCTGCTGTGACTTCTGCTTAATTTGCCCCTTCAAGTAGGACTACTCTGCACATTGGGTGTCACGGGACAGCTCAGATCCCCCTGAGTAGCCCATTGGATGTCCCTACCCTAATTGATCTGCCTTCACCTGCTGTTGTTTCCTTGTATGGACTAGACAGCAGCATCACCTGAACCCTATGTAAGACTTAGCTGCAGTGAGCTGACTTGGGGACCACACATGAAGCTTTTAAAGCATCTTATTGGTTCATGCATGTCAGCGTACTTTTCAGAGGCAGGTACCCTTCACCTAAAAAAGTCAGTCTATACATTTTGACCTACGTGGTTTACATGTCTCAGCCTACTTTTCTTCTAAGGACAACATCCAATTCCCTCGGCTGAGCAATTTGTAGCAATTTTGTGTTTTCTTTTTGAGTTTCTTGTACTGAAGCTTTGTACAGCAAGCAGACCAGGCTACATCCTCGCATGTGGAGGCTGGACACTTCTGCCAGTTTCTCTGCTGTGTGTGGCACCAGGGGGTGGCTGCCTCTCCACTTGCTGGGGAGATGCATTTTGCAACACATCGTTGATATCCTTTCTTGATCAAATGGAATGGAGCTTAGTCCATTTCTCAGGTGGCATTGGTATTTGTAAATCCCAAGCAGTTCTTTGGCAAAACAGTTTGTACTCAAAGATGTTTCTTAGGGAAAGCATAAGCATCAAGGTTCTGAGGACCTCAGCAGTCAGAGAAGCAGCTATTGCAAAGCCTAGGGGCAAATACTGCCCTTGAGGTTGACAGATTCTAGAAGAGTGAAGAGGGTGGTTAAGGAGGCAGGTTTAATGAGTCCGCACAGTGGCTTGCCACGTTTAAACGGCATCTCATATTGTGTAGTATTTCTTCTCCTCTGGGTTTACTTTCAGAGTATGAACAAGCTGACTAGCTCTTCCATCATTTCAAAGTAGTTCACCATGAACTTGTTTTTAAGGATTTGCGTATTTGAAAATATAGTTACACTGAAAGTGAGAGAAACAGAGAGAGAGAGGGGGAGGGAGATCTTCTATGTGCTGGTTCACTTCCCTAGATGGCCTTACTACGAGGACTGGGCCAGACCAAAGCCAGGAGCTTCTTGCTGGTCTGCCATATGGATTGCAGGGACCCAAATACTTAGTCCATTTTCTACTGCCTTTCCCATACCTCCATAAAGGTTCTGGATCAAAAGTGGAACTCAAACCAGCACCCAAATGGGATGCAGGCATTGCAGGCAGCAGTTTATCTGTTATGCCACAATGCCAGCCCCTAACCAGTAACCTCTAACCTGCATACCCATATCATTTATTGAGTAATGATGCCTACTTAAAAAAAAAAAAAACTACTGATTTATCTTCCAGGACTGCCAATGTGTGCAGGGGCCCAACCACTGGGCTATCTTCCACTGCTTTCTCAGATACATTAGCAGAGAGCTGGATCAGTTGTGGAACAGCCTGGACTTTTATTGTTGTCCATATGAGATGCCAGCACTACATACAGAGGCTTAACCCACTGTACCACAGTGTCACCCCGAATAATGCCCCCTTTAGTCTTAAATTTCTCCTTGGACCTTTTACGAATCAGTGATATTTAAAAACTAGTCTTAAAAATATTGGCCACCTATGAACAAAGGATGTACTTGTCTCTAGAGAGAGGAGAGAAGATCTACATTGCTTATGTTTTTGTGTAAAGACTGACATAGTTTTTGGATTCAAAAGGCTTCCATAGCCTAGGCAGCTCCTATCAAGAGCCTCGGGTGGTCCCTGACACCATACAACGTATGGTGTCAAGTGCATAACAGATCTTCCCAGGCAGACGAATGAATTAATTCACAGGATTTTATTGGAGTTCCGCTCCCGGGCGAGGTTCCCCAGTCCCAACAGAGCAACAGAGCGGGGGCCGGGGAAGTCGCACGTCAGAGATTGGGAGAGCTCCTTTTATAGATTCAGGGTATGGGAGTTAAAGGTTGAGGTGGGTCTGATCCTCATTGGTTGACCTTTAGGCACCCACAGGGACCTTGACAAGGACTTTCTTTCCCAGAAGTAGGCCTCTCCATTCCCGGAAGTGTAGGCCTTCCTTCCATGTGGATCCCAAAGCTATCATACATAAGAGTGTTAATTGTTAAATTAATGACAGGAGTCACAATGCACTTCCTTCCCATGCAGGACTTCTCTCTTCAGTGAGTTGTATTATGAGAGTTAACTGTAAAACTTGTTCTCAGTTTTGTGTGTGTGTGCATGTGTGTGCAAA